CGAGGGAAAGGAAGGCCACTATGATCGAAAGATTCAACGTACAGTAGCTGGAGGTAACAAAACTTACGAAGAGAGTCTGGCTCACAATTGTTGCCAGTTTTCCTTTTTAGCAGACTGTATTCTGTATCTGTGTTGAACAACAGGAACTTTCTAAGACTTAAAGGATATGATAATGGGGGTGAATGGCAGTTCCAGACATTGGAGCACAACACGCAGAAAGACTCCCACAGTTGTGGAGTTCTGCTATTGAAGGTAATTATAAGCCTTTCTTTATGATTTGAGGTTTTTAACTAAAGCTGGTCAAACAGACACATTTCAAAAATGTTGAAGGGTTGATTCATGTCATAATGTGTAATCACTATATTACAAAATCGTAATGGTAACAGTTTTAAGGTCTTGTTCTTAAATTAAATCAGTTAACTTGTTTGTATTACGTGTGAGCAGTTAAACTAGTCATGAGTCTACAGATATTCAGGACATTATGTTTAGGAAAGATAATTCAAGGGTTCTTTTACAGTTTGCGGAGAACTACCTCACAAAAGGAGGGCTAATGGATGTGTTGACCAGTGAGTCTGCCATGAGAACTGCAAGGATGAACATAGCCTGTGCTCTCCTTGAATACAGAGGTAATACAACGATATGATTCACATACAGTAATATATTTTATCATACAGCTCATAAGGATTGTTCTGCAAAAGTTCTGTTAATGTGAAAGGAGCATCCCAATGTTCTAAGGTCCAATACTTGTTTGAAATGATATCTGATTAACATCTTTGATATTGCATTTTGGAAAACCTAACATGATGCAACACACTTTCAAATTTTAAGTTAGGTTTGCTTGAAGAATTATTTTGTCAGAAGCCGCAAATATTAACATACTAGCAATAAAATAATTGAAAGGAAATTAAATATTGAGTGAAGATTATTTTCTTATTTTGAATAACAGCAGTATGTTACACCTAACACTACTATTGCTTTTTCAAAATACTGAAAATTAATCAAATGACTCATGTTAAAGCTTGTATATTAATGAGAACAACTGTGATTATGTTACGCTCGCGGTCCGACAAACAGGCAGGAAACCAGGGATCAGCGACACGGGGTTTAATTGAAGCACAACACAAAGCAGGCAACGATACAACATCAA